CTCTGTAAAATACGGGTCTTTGTAAAAGATGAAATGCAAAAAGGCTAATCTGTTTGGCAACTTTATCAGTGTCATGCACCATTCATATTTTTAGAATGCTCCAAGAGCAAGTAAAAAAAAAAAAAAAAAAAAAAAATATATATATATATATATATATATATATATATATATATAACTTTAAGGTGATGCCACCTCAGTGGTGGTACTGTCAGGACCTTCAAGGCCTTCTGTGCTGGCCTAAAATCAAACAGAAACACTAACCTACATTCACAACCTTAGTGTGTTTCTATGTCAGTCAAACCTGCCCAGGGCCTTCAGAATCAGCAGTGCTGGCTGATGTTACCCTAACAATATTAGCGAGGAACATTTTCTTTCACCAATCAGATGTTGATTTTTCCCACAGGGCCAGCTAGCGGGCACACCCTAACTTCAGCATTTTCTGTCCTCTGATTGGTCAGTTAGAGCAAAAATGTTTACAGTTAAGTTAAGGTAGTCTTTAGATTCTCCTCTGTTAAAAGTTTTTTCTGGCCTAAATGGCTTTCTCACTTGTTAACAAATGTTTTAAAACTACCTTTCCAGCTCATCAAAGTTAATGAAGCCAAGCTTTTCTGCAACGTATACCAACAGAACTGAGCAGATTAAAGCATGTTGACCAGCATATAATCCAGCCTTTAAGCGTTTTTAACAGTGGCAGGAGAGCTACACTCTGCCTGGCCCTATCCTTGTGCACTGAAGATGAGCTACTGTGCATCTACAACTTTTAACGAGGGTCTATGGGTAAAGATTTTTAACCTCAGGATGGAAATATATCACCGATCTGACGACGAATGAAACAGCTTTACATGAAAGGCAAGGCAAGGCAAGGCAAATTTATTTGTATAGCACAATTCAGTACAAAGACAATGCAAAGTGCTTTACATGATTAAAATATAGGAAAATAAAACAGAATCAAAGCAAGTAGGAAAATAAAATAAAATGCAGAAACAAAAAAGAATATTAAAAACAGTTGGACTAAAGAATATAAAAAAGTTAAACTAATGATGTTTCAGTTTAACTGTTTAACTAGAACAGTCGAAGGCAATCCTAAACAAATGTGTCTTTAGTCTTGATTTAAGGAACTCAGGCTTTCCGTACTTTTACAGTTTTCTGGAAGTTTGTTCCAGATAAAGATGAAATATTTATCTTACACACCTAAATATATGCTTTGATATATTTAGAAATATTTTAATCATATAATTACATTTTTATTTGTTTTTTTTTTTATGTCTAAAACAAGATCATTTGGTCAGTGGGGTGGCGCCTGGCGCCCTGGCCTGCCTCCACTGGTTTTTGACACCCAAAACACTTTTGGTGTGAATAGACCATGAGATTATTCTCAGTCTCACTCATCCTCTCCCCTAATCCTTTTCCTAGGTTACTCATCCAAGCAAATGTTGATTCACAGCATCAAAGTCTTCTGCCAGGACCCGAGCGCAAAAAAACTTATTTTATTCATGTCAATAAAACCTTTCTAATTTCAGGTTGAAATGCCTTTCCATCAATATGCGGACTCCAAACTGAGAAATGGAATACCCCAAACACTTCCAATTGTGAGAAAAAAAGGTTCTATCTTGCGTTATCTAATAGGGGCTTCATTCATATACGCAGCATACAATTTAAAATTTTTTGTTAGAAACGTGATATTTTAGAATATCTTGGATATAAGTTAATCCATTGGACCTTTTCCCCTTCTGGAAAGTGAAACTCTGCCTCAACATCAAATCTCACAAACTGGTTTTGTTCCGTCATTAGAAGAAAATCAACCCTGACCAGCTTTTGATCACCACAGCATTATGCTGCCGCCTTAATTTCTCTAGAGTTGGAGTTGGATTTTTAATTGTGGTGTTAAAAAAGAATAAATAACCCCCCATGTTTTATTAATATTCCTCTTGCTTGAAATTTCTGCACTATTTTCAAAATTAAAACAACTTACAAGAAATTGTACTTAAGAGTTGTGTCATAATAAGTATAGAACAAGTTAATTAAAAGGGTGAAATACTGAAAATCTAGCTGAAATAGAATTAAGAATGAAAATGAAAATACCCTTACTTGTAAATAAGTGTATTTTTTTTTTTAGCATATTATCTGGTCTATAAAGTTCTGAAGTGGAACATGACTGACACCTTGTGGATACTTTTTGTAATAATTATATTTTTTGTGTGTTAAGTGTGCACTTTTTACGTCAGATCCAGAGGATGAGTTCAGCTCATCACTGCCCTCAGAACGCTTTTGAAAATATAAATTGGAAGTGGACTTGATTGCTCCTTAAAAAGTACTTAATAAACAATTAAGTAAGAGAAATTTCTTATAAAATTATTCATGTATTTATCCTGTTAAAGCATTTTTGATAAAAGGATATAAATGGAATTTGGATTCAATGCGTACTTTTTGTAAAAATTATGAAGAAAAGCTTATTCATCTTTTTTGGGGGATTGTAATTATAACAAAATACTCTGGAGAGAGATGCCAATTTTTTCTTTTTATCAAAAAAAGTCTTAACATTACTTTAACAGATAAGGATGTTTTGCTTGGGATGGAGAAATGTGAACTTGTCAAAATAACATTTTTATATGTGTTAATTTTTTTTTTATTATTATTTATGGTAAATATATTCACACCTCCAAATATTTACAACAAAAACCTAATTTCCAGATTTTATTATCTTCTATTCATATCTATATAGGATCCTTAAAATTTTGTTCAAATGCTAAAGGCATATGCAAATTATAACTGCTCTTAAAGAATTATAACCCTCTAGCATAGATTGGATTTGATTTTGACATTTTTAAATTCTGTAAAGCCCTTTGTTGTTGTATTTGTTTGTAATTATTAATGTTCTATATTCAGAGATGGGAAATAACGAAGTACAAATACTTCGTTACTGTACTCAAGTAGATTTTTCTGATATTTTTACTTTACTTTACTACTTATTTTTATGGCGACTTTTTACTTCTACTCCTTACATTTTTACACAAATATCTGTACTTTCTACTCCTTACATTTAAAAAAATTGTCTCGTTACTTTAGTTTTGAATCATTTCAATGGAGTTACCGTTATTATTTTTCACGTCATCAATACCAAATTCAATCTAATTGGATGGGAATCTACGTTGCATTTGACGCACCACTACAAGATGAATCGACAGATTCTGCGGTATTCATTGGCGGCAAATCATTGCAGCTTGGTGGCGGTGGCGTTAGCATAGTAGCATGGACGACCAGATGATTGAAAATGAACACAACGGAGATCTAGTCCTATTGGCAGACATCCATTTAAAATATAGGCAACGGCATGAAAAAAGTGGTTTCTACTTTTACTTTTATACTTTAAGTAAATTTACAAGCCTGTACTTTGTTACTTTTACTTGAGTAAAGAAGCTTAATCAGTACTTCCACTTTTACCAGAGTATTTTTTAACACAAGTATCTGTACTTTTACTCAAGTATGGAAAATTAGTACTTTTGCCATCTCTGTCTATATTGTTCATGTATGTTATAAAAAAAATCACTGCTCAGATCGTCTAATTTCAAAGTACAAATGTATCAGATTTTGAAGTTAAGTCACTGAAATTTTCATCAGGGAAACCAAACAGTTTGGCTTTTCACTACGGAAGAGGATTAGGGCCACTGAAAAAACTATCTCAGAATTCTGACTTTAATCTCAGAATTTTGGATCTTAATGTAAATGGGCACCATGAAGAAATAGATGTGGGAACGCTCAGCTTTACTGACAAAGACATGGGTTGTTTGGGAGGGACAGTAACACATTGGTGGAAAATGACGCAATTAGGCTACTTTTTACGTGCTGGAGGGATCCGCAGTGATGCTATTTCATTAATGGAGGAGCAGAGGGTGATTAAAAGAGAGCTAGTTTAGTCTCTAACAGAGACATGGCTACGGCTTGATGCTAACATGTTTGTTAGCTGTCAGAATTCAGTTAGAATTCTCAGAATTCTGAGAAAAAAGACAGCATTCTGAGAAATCAGTCAGAATTCTGAGAAGTCAGTCAGAATTCTGAAATTAAAGTCAGAATTCAGAGAAAAAAGAAACAATGGAGGAGCAGAAGGTCATTAAAACAAGAGAGCTTGTCTCTAAAACAGACATGGCTACGGCTTAATGCTAACATATTTGTTAGCGGTCGGAATTGAGTTAGAATTCTGAGAATTCAGTAAGAATTCTGAGAAAAACTAAAAAAAATGGAGGAGCAGAAGGTAATTAAAACAAAAGAGCTAGTCTTTAAAACAGACATGGCTATGACTTAATGCTAACATGTTTGTTAACTGTCAGAATTCTGAAAATTCAGTCAGAATTCAGTGAAAAAAAGAATTCTGAGATTAAAGTCAGAATTCTGAGATTAAAGTCAGAATTCTGAGAAAAAAAGTCAGAATTCTAAGATTAAAGTCAGAATTCTGAGATTAAAGTCAGAATTTTGAGAAAAAAAGTCAGAATTCTGTGAATTCAGTAAGAATTCTGAGAAAAAAGACGAAAAAATGGAGGAGCAGAAGGTCATTAAAACAAGAGAGCTAGTCTATAAAACAGACATGGCTACGGTTTGATGCTAACATATTTATTAGTTGTCAGAATTCAGTTAGAATTCTGAAAATTCAGTCAGAATTCTGAGAAAAAAAGTCAGAATTCTGAGATTAAAGTCAGAATTCTCAGAAAAAAAGAATTCTGAGATCAAAGTCAGAATTCTGAGAAAAAAGTCAGAATATTGAGGTTAATGTCAGAATTCTGAGATTAAATTCAGAATTCTGGGATTAAAGTCAGAATTCTGACTTTTCCCCCCACATTAAACTGAAATAATATTCAAAAATCAGTTAACTTTTTTCAGTGGCCCTAATCTAATCCTCTACCGTATTTCACGCTCATCTAAAACAAATTAAGTTATAATTTCAGGGGATATGTGTTTGTTTTGCTGGTTCTGCCTCCCACCCATTGTCTCCGCCCACATTACGTCATTGAGAGCGGAGCGCCGCTCCTGTCAGAAGGAGATCTGATCAGCGCATCCTCCTTCCTGCACCTGCAGCCAAGGAGCAGCATCCTTCCCTCATATTGTCCACTCTGCTTTGGTGGCTGTAAATAAACAAATAATAATAAATAAAAGGTTGAGACTAAGGCAGACTAAGAGGCGGGACTTCCGCCCCGGAGTGAAGCAGAACTAAACCGGTCGGACTGTTTATCTCTTTGTGCAGCCAGAGGATCGAGGGGCAGCTGGGGTCTGATAAGGTAAGCGCTCTGTTTTTATCCACGTTTGAAAGGTTTCCCTTCTGTCTGATCTAAGGTTTCCTGTTTTATGCACAGCGGGTTTCCCTCTGCACCTGCTTATTGTTGCAGGCTGCAGAACTGCGCTGTATAGCGGTTAGCTCTGCAGAGCAAATGCAGAAAAAACTTTGAAATTTAATCAAAATTCAATCTTCAAACGTTGATAAGCATGAAGTTAGATCTCACACATGCGTTAATATGGTTTCAGATTATTCTGATACATTTCCAGTGAGATTATGTTTCAGTAAGCCTTTATATGCCAACCCACTGCTACTAAAAGGTCACTCTGGGCTTATAAATATAACTCAAACATTAATAATGCTGACAGACGCTTTGTTAATTAAACCCATACCAGTTTGACACAGGTTTGATAAATAGTAAAAAATAAAAATGTTTCTGATACCAACAGTTAAATCCTTATCTTCCTATTTTAAAGTAACAGAATATCACTGGGGAGGTCACACAGTTTTATTTTACACATAATTGTTAATTCAGATGTTTAGTGCTTTGTAAAACTATAACTCTTGAGATCTTTGCAGCTTTCAACAGGTTTTCCTAAAGGATAGCCATGTATTTACCTTCAATCTGGAAAAGCCTTCCTACAGCACTATACTCCTGTCACTAATTTCCACAGTGAAGATGATGTCTTCAAGGTGATAGAATTAGTTTTTTGATTTTACGTGACAGATTTTTGTATGGTCGTTCTTCCTCTCGCCATTATCCATTAAGTTGGGTGGTGTCGTGTTCATGTTTTTTTTTAGCTAAGCAGCTCCTCTAGAATTGACACATCCTCTTGGCTGCCTCTCTGATTAATGCTGTCTATCCATGTCAAAGCTTGGTAGGTTTCCAGTGGTTTCCACTTTTGGATAATCAGTTGGAAAGAAGTAAAGAAAGTAAAGACTAGTTGTAAAGAAGGTTCCGGGGTCTTTCTGCATGGAGTTTGCATGTTCTCCATGTGCATGTGTGGGTTCTCTCCGGGTGCTCTGGCTTCCTCCTACTGTCCAAAAACATGACGGTTAGGTTAAACCACTTCTCCTTAAGTGTAAGTGTGTGCATGAATGGTTGTTTGTCCTGTTTGTCTCTGTGTTGCCCTGCGATGGAATTGCAACCTGTCCAGGGTGTGCCCCCCATCTCGTCCGTAGACAGCTGGAGATGGGCACCACCACCCCTCACGACCTCAACAAGGGTAAGCGTGATGGAAAAAAAATGGAATGGATAATCAGTTGAACAGTTACAAGCTTGGTTCCTGCTGTGTTCCTTGTTCCTCAAGATGTTTCTTCTCTAGTGTTCTAAAAAATAACCTCAGAGTCCTTCAGAAAAGTTCGATAATTTTGCTAAGATCATGTCACACTTAACTGAACTCTATTATTCCTGACTTTTTAGTGCAGCTTTAGATTGTATTTAGAGATGTATTTATCCCTAGCCATCTTTTGAAAAGCAAAGCTCCTTTCTTTGAGCTCTGTATATAGGTCATACTGAAGACTGGCAATTCATTTTTGTGTACACTACCAACACGGTTCAGCTTATCTATTAGCTATAGCCTGCATGAATCAGGAACGTGGGTGCGACAGTATCATGGCGCCCATCACGCTCCTTAAATTCATGCTTTTAACTCAGAGAAACCAAATCATAGAAATACAGGAAATGTGGAGACCCCCCTGGGTTAAAGATATAGAGATTTAAAGGACAGCTTCCTTTAAGAAAAAGTGAAATTGTTCCTTTTTAACACTAATACAGGGACTGGCTTCTAATAAATACATACAGAGAGGTTGTGTTCTATTTTTGGGATTCCACTGTTTCCTGAAGCACGTCTTGGGATATCTGTGGGGGTTGGAGGAAGTTTGTTAATGAGCTTTGCAGTCAGAGATGATTTCTTTGTCTGAATGCAGAGATATTCCATTGTGAGCACCTTCTGAAGGATGTATGCAACTAGTACATTTAACAAAAATTGGCATTAAAAAGCTGTTGTCAGTTTAAAGAGGTACTAGACACATTGTTTGAACTGTGCTGATGCAGATAAGCTAGTAAAATATAAAAGATATTTGCTGTTGGTATGTTAGGTAGGCAGTCTGCTTTTACTACAAAGCTACCCAGCAAAAATAATTGAATATAGAAATAATTACACATATGTATTTATGGGCTTTCAAAGACTGGTAAATTATTTTTCTACCTCAAACATTTGGATTACCTCAAAAGCAGGAATAAAGTAAATAAAATAACAATATAAAGTGATGTAAGTTGTCTTTCCTAACTTTATAGGCATCTTTATAGGTGTCCTGATACAACTTTTTCATTTACAATGACAATATTGTATCTTTAAAAATTGACAGATACTGTTATTGACCTGATATGATATTAGCATTAATCGTGTGTGCTTTTATTACTTACCTACCCTTTTGAAACCGTGCCGAGAACGGTCTTTGCATTGTAACCGAGATAACTGTTTAGTGTAAATGGAATGCAACTGAACTGGACCGGCCAGACACAACCGAACCGTTCTATAACTAGCACTAGTTTAACAGTAGGGCAGGGGCCGTTTAGTTGTGGCTCAATTCTCTGATAACAAAGAGCGCATGACCAGACCTTGTCATCTCCTATTGACAGTCAGCTGACTCATTTCACGTTTTATCCGGCTTGTCCGGCTTTGGAATTCACAGATCTGTTCACCTTTTCACAACACGAACCTCTTCTCAGCCTATTAACAATAAATGGCATCAAAATGGCATGGCGTGACCGTGGATGATGCCGATACTGAGGCTCTTATGAAATTCTTATATGCCTGGATAGCATCCAGTTCCTGATTGTTATGGGCACCACCATATTTGTTTGCGTAACGACCACCTTGAGACCAGTAGTATCATGGATCGCCGATAGGAGGCAAGGAACCGTGTTAGCGGGATTTGTAAATGGTTGTAAAAGCCAAGCTCGGCACCACTAACTGATCCAAGCTCGATCCGAACTCAGCATGGATGTAGTAGTAGCCTCTGGGATTATCCTGAGGGATATGCCCCCTGGAGGTCTCCCGTGGGAGGCGTTCAAGGCATATCCCACCAGGAGGAGGCCCAGAGGACTAAGTAGAACATGCTGCAGGGACGATGCCTGTCGGCTGGCCAGGAAGCATCTTGGGCTGATGTCTGTGGAGAGGGAAGTCTGGGAGTCTCTGCTGAGTGCCCTGGTTGTGGATAAAGGGGAAGCTTAAAAGCATGAGTACAGATTACAGAAACTTTATACAGAGGCAGAGTCTTATTATCAGCTTGACAATACTGGAGATGTTAGATTCAGGCAGATAGAATCTGTTTTTTGGCTCATACCGTATTGTGACAGCCCTGGTAATTTCACATGCCGTCTATGTAACTCTTCCAGACAATAGCTTAACTGCCTTAAGTGACCATGTTTTGTGTTTGTGTTTTGCAGATATTGTCATTACTAGCCACACCATGCTGAGCTGTTTGATACAAGGACGCTGCAGTCCTCTTTTCTACCTCCTGGCCATGGTTTTACCCCTTTTTTCTTCACACACTCTGAATCCCCATGAACATCAGGACCACACCGAGAAGGAAAGACCCAAGCTACTTCTAGTGTCTTTCGATGGCTTCCGCTGGGACTACATTTACCGTGTCCCAACTCCTAACTTCCGCAGCATCATGGATGAGGGGGTGAAAGTTGAGTTTGTGGAGAATATTTACATTACCAAAACCTACCCGAACCACTACAGCATGGTGACAGGCCTGTATGCTGAGACGCACGGGATCGTGGCCAATGAAATGTATGACCCAGCACTGAACCTCTCCTTCTCCATGGAGACGGACAGCGTCTATGATTCAAGGTGGTGGGAGCAGGCCGTGCCCCTCTGGGTGACCGTTCAGAAGGATGGGGGGCGGAGCGGAGCGGCAATGTGGCCAGGATCTGATGTTTTGATTCATGGCATGTTTCCCACTCAGTACCTACCGTATAACGCCTCGGTTTCATTTGAAACCAGGGTGCAATGGATTATTGATTGGTTCTCAGCACCAAAAGGTGAAGCAGTGGATTTTGGAACTCTGTATTGGGAGGAGCCTGATGAGAGTGGTCACAACCTGGGCCCTCAGAGCCCTCTCATGGATGCAATCATTGCTGGGATAGATGAGAAGCTCGGATTCCTCATTAATGAGCTAAAAAAGGCTGGGCTGTATGAGAAAGTGAACCTCATCGTGACCAGTGACCATGGGATGACACAGCTATCACCTGAGAAGATTATAGAACTGGACCAGTACGTGGACAGAGACTTGTACACTTGGGTGGATAAGAGTCCGGTGGTTGGAATTTTGCCTAAAGAAGGTAATGGTGAGAATTATATTTGAATAAAGATTTAACCTCTTGGTCAGAAATCCCAAAATCCCCTTTTGACACTTGTGCTGTTACACTCAAAAGGACTCAAATGTTAATGATTTTCAGTATCAGTAGTGTTTTTAAAAATAAAGTGAAAGAAGTCAGACATTTAAGAGGCTTGGTAGTATAAACTACAATGTAAAGCATTAAAAGACACATCTTAGGTTCATTTAGACAGAGAGAGAGAGAGAGCAAGACTTACAGCAGATAACAGGAAGGCTGAAGTTATACAGCTAAATAGCACAGTTTTATCCCTTTTAGCTTGCAGCCTTTTTCTATAAAGATACATGCTGGATTTGGAAATGTTGGCAGCCTTTTAGAAATTTCTGAACTATGTTTAGATTATACATTCTCTGGAAAATCCACACAGAAATGGCTATTAGTGATGCTAACAGTGCAAACCTACAAGACTGTGAGAACAGTTTGAAATATAAAATTAAAATAATTTTGCATCTGTTTTAAAATATTTTCCCCTTTTTTTACGCCCATTGTGTCAAATCATCTCGCACTATATGTAGTTCAAGTCTAGTCACACTACACCTTACAACATGCAAGAGTTTAACATTTGTTTTGCAGTGGATCAGAAAGGTCCTGGGATGGAATCTCGTCTCTACTTCTTTCCACATGGTGTTTGCATGTTCTTTCTGTGCATATGTTGGTTCTCTTCGAGCACTCCGGCTTCCTCCAACAGTCTCAAACATAACTGTTAATTTAATAAGTCTGTTGGCATTGGGATTACTGTGTGTGAGCAAGGTTTTGCATCCAATGTGTCTCTGTGTTGCTCTGGGATGGATAATACATCGTTTTTCCCCCTTTCACCCATTGACCACTGCAGACTGGCTCTAAACCCCCATGACCCTGCAACAATTAATGGGTATGGACAATGGATGAAGGCTTGAAAAAATATGTTTAATGCCGTTCTTGTATCATTTGATGTTTTAGCTGTAAAGGAGAAATCTGAATAGGCTAAAATAGGTATTGGCGGTAAAAAGTAAAAAAAAAAAAACTTAAATAATTAAATTTTCTTGCTGATAAAACACTAACAGGATGATTAGGACTGCAAGACAATGAACCCAATCTTTATATCATCTATCATCATAAATGTAACACGGTTTATAGTTCCTGAGTCAGTTCTTCAGTGCCTATAACAAATAAAGCATTATTTATTAGCAGCACTTGAAACATAATATGACCATGTCTGCCTATTTTGATATATTTTTGATTGTACTGCAGTAAATACCTTTTCTTGTCTAAACTAAGCTTGCATTTAATTTAAAGTGTTATTACATCAGAAATAAAACCTGCTCCTGAACTCTTTGATGTGTCTCACAGGAAAGCTCGATGAGGTGTACGAGCTGCTTGTAGACGCTAACCCCAACATGGTCGTGTACAGGAAAGACAACATTCCCGAGCACTTCCACTATCAGCATAATGTTCGGATTATGCCCATCCTCCTGGAGGCCAAGGAGGGCTGGACCATCATGCAGAACAGGGATGGACCATTCATGCGTATGTCTAAAAATGCAGTACAGCTGTGCTGTCCTGTTATTCTTCTTCATCGCTTTGCCTTTATTTTTTTCATCTGACTTTAAAGAGAAGCTCTAGTCTGCTCTTATTATAGCTTCACAGGTGATTTATTTTTGTCCCTCATCCAAAGCTAGCACATGTTTTACCGAAAATAATTGACAAAGAGAGACAGCTTCATTTCCTCATGGGACCAGCAATGACATGTGTGATGGGTGGTGATGGTTGGTTCTGGGAGTTTATTACTGCGCCTTCATGCACTTTTCCTAATTCCATATAGAAAGCCTTTCTTTTCAGAGTAGAATATTTCTGAACATATGTCTTAGACACAGTCCTACACTAGCTAATTACACTGCTTGTCTGTTATGGTTGAAAGCTTGTTAATTTCTAAAATGACCACGTGGAACCAGCAGCTCAAAGAAGAAACAGCTGTCTCTTGGTGGGGGTTGTGATGTGAAGCCTCTTACTAGATGTGTAGAGGCTGATACTGTCCTGTGTGGAAAAAATACACATTCACTGTGGATTTACTTGATGCCTCTGATGATAAAACAATAGCAGTTAGTGTCTGGCAATGTTTTCAGAGATGTTGGTAATTCAGCACCATTTAGCATTAACATTAAAATTAGAGGAATTGCTAAGGAATTACTGTTCAATTCGCATTAGCACGGTCTGCTCAGATTGTTATTTCGGTATTTAACATTCATTATAAATTCAGATTCTTTAGTTCCACAGACTAAAACTAGTCTTAAGATGGCTAAAAACAAAGACCTTTGTTTTTTAAAAGTGGGTAAAATCTCAATCAGTGATCAGCCAACCTTTAGAGTTTTTCTACTTTTATAGGGGCTGGGTGTTTACAGAAAAGCCAATCAAAATTTGTAAGAGTAACTGATTTTTTTTGACCATGCAAGAGGTGCACCCCTAAGGGGTATCCTGTGTGAAACATGTAATGTAAGTATGTTGACTGAGGGATGCAAACAGGATGCAGATACATTATTGCCAAGGATAGTGCAAAGACAAAAATTTGTTTTGCAAATGAAAAATTAGACTATGCAACGCTTACGTATATGTAAACACGTATGTAAAGAAAAGACATGCAAGGGAATAATCCTGGAGTCATAGAAAATCTAAAACAGCAGAGTGCAAACATCCTGCAAACACATAAAGATTTTAACACAGAAAGTACATGCAAAAGGAAATTATGCATGTAGCAAAAACACGTGAGTCTAATCTTCAAATAGCTTAGAAGTGCTCCACATCACTGTCCTGAGTTGTTTTGACATATAAAAAGTAGGAATATGATGTAAAAAAAACAGCTGACTTGTAAGTAATCATAAGTTTGTTGTGTTTTTCTTTACAGTGGGAAACCACGGCTATAACAACACCTTACGTGACATGCAGCCTGTGTTTGTAGCCCGTGGGCCAGCCTTTCGCCAGAATTATGTCAAGACCTCCATGCGCTCCGTTGATCTTTACCCTCTCATGTGTCACATATTAGCCATCAAGCCTCTGCCAAACAATGGCTCTCTCCTAAATGTCCAGGACCTGCTGTCCTGGGAACCAACGACTTCCTTCACCACCCCAACCTTCTCCACTGTTCCTCCTAAGGTCAACAGGTACTCCTACGCCACGGTTGTTGGTTCTTTCATTGGTGTGGTGATGGTGCTTGGATTCTTTGTGGTCTACGTCATATTAGTGACTCTAAAACAGCGGCCTGTCCTTAAACACAGAAGTTGGGAGATGTCACAGCCCTTGCTGCAAGAGGACTTGCACCTGTAGCTGAGGAAGTTTAAGGGATTGGAGACAGAAAAGATGAGGAGGTTGTGCTCCTCCAGGTACCCTGCTCAGCCCAGAAGCACTCTCTAAATATTTTACTTTCACTAATTAATGCAGTCGTGCAATTTAAACTTACACAGGGTTTGCTTGTGGTGCAATTTAACGATTTAACAATAATAAAAAAAGAAAATAAAGCCACGCTTTATTTGTGAATGTTAGCTGAGATAATGTAACAACTTCAATGTCACTTTCTGCATAGAGATTTAGGACTAAGAGCGGATTTTCAACCTGTTATTCAGATAATTATGAATTTTGGTGGCAAAAACTTTGACCCGGATAATCCAGAAACATCAGTATCCTCAAATTAACAGTCTACCAAAGGTGTTTTATAGTTGATGGTGACCAGTATCTGTGAATGTGCAAGTGTGTGGGAATACTCCAAGAAGCCTGTCTGTTAGGGATTTACCTGAGAGTGATATTACGTTCAGTCATCCAAATTCTGCTTTAAAGTTTCACAGTTTGCAATTAGAGTTTGAAACTCCAATAATCCTGGAATCATTGTTCTAGAGACATAATCTGGTAAAACTTTCAAAAGTAGACATTTCTGGATTTGCCTGCGATTAACTCACTTTTATTGGCACTCTTGGTAAAAATGTGAACAAAGGCTTAGTGCACTGAATTTGAAATGCAGAAGCTTTTTTCTCTTCATGTATCTTAATACAATATTATGGCCAGGGTTTTATTTAGTAAAGCAAAGATCATATGAATAAAAACAGTGTTACAAAATCCTTGAAAATTATTATTTCCCTTGAAATAATATATTATGTAATAAACATTAGTGGACTGATTCTTTGGTTCATATTTTACCCTCCTAAGGTCGTCACTGTTTAGGAATTTTAACAAAGTAATCCATAACTACGTTGTGTTTAGACCCAGACAGATTTTATTTTGTCATTTTGTACATACAAGTTTAAACAAAGAGAAATTGTACAAGTACAGCTCTCTAGACTCACATTTTCTAAAGTGCAGGTAAGCAGCTTTGATTAAAACATTAAAACATAAAAACATAGAAATATTAAACATGTGAAGACACAGAGGTCAATTTCTTTTAGGTCCTATACAAAATAGGAAAGACAAGAGAGTATGGCCTTCAGTTACGTTACATGTCGGTAATCTAAATAACCAACTGCAGAAAAGTGTAGCATCATTTATAAGAACTAGAAGGTACTACTGTATCTACCACAAAACACATCGTCTGGGAGCCATCAAGGAACATTGTTTGTCCTTCCATCATCAAATATAAAGTCTGCTAAGCTCTACAGGGTGCTTTTTTTTAAACGTTTGACTCAAACTGATTTTTTAAGCAATAATTCAATTCAGTTTATTTATTTAGCGCCAATTCACAACACAAGCCATAGACAATTCAACCAGATCATATAATCAAATTGATTCAAAGTTTTCTATCTGAATAATCTTATTCAGAGAGAACATAACTTTAGAGATTTAACTCACAAATTCTGCAAAGTTAGAGATTAGAGAATGAAGCAGAATGATGAAAAGGGGTCCCTATGTCCTCCAGCAGTCTAAGCCTATAGCAGCAGAACTATAGAGATAGCTTAGGGTAACATTAGTCACTCTAACTATAACCTTCATCAAAAAGGGACGTTTTAATCCTACTCTTAAAAGTAGACAGGGTGTCTGCCTCACGGACAAAAACTGGTAGTTTGTTCCACAGGAGAGGAGCCTGATAACTAAAATATCATTTGCATTCTACGTTTAGAAATTCTAGGAACCATTAGTGAACCTGCAGATTGAGAGCGAATAAACATTCACATTTTTGATCAGAAAAGAAAATAAAGTGTTAAAATATATATCAGCCACACAGTTGAATGTGCCAGATACATGATTTTTCTGTCTGCCCACACTATTGTGGTTATTATTACACATCTCCCAAGTTGCTTCCTGTTCCCTAGAATAATTGTTTAAATCGATAACCACATTTTTATGTTTTCAGACACAGACTCAGTATTGTATTCGACTTTTCTTTTATTTTAATAATACTTTACAAAATCCCACACAAGGAAAGCATGCTTGGTTTTCTTGAAAGTGAGCTGCTTAGCCTTTTGCCATTTGCTGCTTGAAAACCTGAAAATTTTAAATGCAAGGTTATGTTTTTCTGTACCCAGCTAAATTTTGTCACAATGCCCAAAATACCCTTTTTAATTAATCTGGTTTGCAAGCTGAATTCTCATGGTATTTGTGCATTCAAAAACATTAGAATCCATTTTGCCTTTCTCCTGCCTCGACTATTTAGAAATAGACAGAAAACAGGTGGCCAATCACATTCCGCTATTATGTTTTGAGGCGGGACATACAGGTGTGACAAAATCAGAGCGCACAGCCAAACCAAACTAAACAGAGAAATGCAGAAAGTACACGTAGCTGCTGCTATCGCATTTGCTTTGTTAGGATCAAACATTTTTCCTGTGTAAAAAAATGCAAGAAAAGATTTTGTTCATTAATTGTAGCTCCGCCCAATCTGAACATCCCTTTCTTTATCTGAACAGATTAGATGGGAGTAGCCCAGACTGATAATGTGTAAACCTAAAATTCTTCAGGAGGATAATCATAAAAAACTGTGAAGTCATTTAGAAAAATATCTCCTGTAGAAAAATAAATGCTGTAGAAAACTGAGAGTAAAAATATGAACAGCCTGGAATATCTAGATAGACAGGAATGAAAGGAAGATACGTGCATATATACAGCTATACCTATTGAATGAATGTACTCCAACAAAAGGTTGTATTTTACTGTTATTTTGCTGCTGCAGTAAAAGCTTTACGTCTTTACCAGGATTGCCATTGAAAATGTGAGGGCAGTAAATACATAGTTTACAACAATAGATATTTATACCCTATTTATAAAATGCAGGCATATACCATGTACTAGATTTTATTTGTACCTATAACAATGCAAAGACAGGCATTGAAAACTAGGAAAAAACACTGACTGATCTATAACTGATTACTTTTTTTCCAAGCTCCTTTTCTTGATGTTATTATTTAGGGTCTGATTTGGTGTTCAGTGTTTTGTGCTAGTCTGTGTAAACTAAACTAGCTATCATGATCGCATTTCCAACATTGAACAATGAGCTGGTTATCGTAAGAAATGCTGAAAGCAGGTAAGGAAATCAGACAACTGTGTATGCTTTCAGACAATCTGCACCTTTTAAATGTTTTTACACTAAGTGTTTGGAGATTTATTTTATATCTCCTTTACCTTCTTAGCAAAAAGAGGTGGAAACATATTAGAAGGGATAAAATTAGCCGTTGCCCACACTGCATTTGAGGCATACGGAGCCTGCACTTTTACAGCAGGGTACTTAGACAGCAGACAGTTTTGATTTGACATTTTCAAATCTATGCAAATCAGATTTGTATGTCATGAAGTAAAGGAGGACCAAAGTCTACATTGAAATTTCCACCAATTGTCCAGCTTGTTTGAGCACTAGAGAAGATGTTACTTTATACTGGAAATGCTGTGATTCTGCTTAAAGATAATATAAAAACTGCTGTGGCTTCAGGAGGCTTGTCATGGTCACTGTTTATAATAAATGTTGCTTGGAGTATTCACTGTGTGTCAAGCTACTCCCTTTGAAGGGTACTCACGTCTCTACCTTGCTCTTTCATAGTCAGCAACCATTTGCCTTTAAGCTTAACATTCATTCATTCTTGTAGTCTTTTAAGCCCACTTCACACCAGATTAAGACAGCTCTACAGTCTCTAGGATTTCCATTACTGTTTGAATGTTGCTAGATCACCACAGATTTGTTCAAATGTAATTTATAGGGTGAAATGACTCTAAATGACTCATTTTTATGGTATTACGATATATATCTGTTGATTTTTAAGGGCATCCTATCAAAATGACTGCTGCTGATTGCAGATTATGCCCCAACATTCTACTTTTAAGATGTTTTTGCAGTTGAAAAGCAGCCTTAAGAATTTCCTCCAACCTTTATGCCAACTACCTATATGCACAATTTGGAGGTGTGCTCACCCACCCTGACAGGGATTGCAGCAAATTTCAATACCAATCTTTATTTAAGAAGTGCATGGATATTAGTCTCTGAACCGATGCTTAAATTTCGGACAAATTGCTGATAAAATGTTATCATCATGTAGATCTTAGTGCAGTCATCATCCAGTGTGAAGTGGCCTTTAACTGTTGCGTTTCTCGGGAGAGGATGTTTTTTTGTCTTTATACATAACTGTGTGTTTCGCTACTTGTTGTATTCTAGTGTTGTAACCATTGCCATATTGTTGGTGAAATGTGAAGTGCAATTGCAAATTGTCTGTTTTGTGTCTTAGGGATTTTAGAGTTTATTGTCATTTAGTTGGGAAGACATTTTCTTTCGGAATGACTCGTAAGAGATGACCCCCCGATTTGCACTACAGGATTGAAATGAGGGCACTTGCTAGATGCTTCTTAGGCAGCCTATTATTAGCACTTCTAGTTAGCATTACGCATTTCAGATGCTGAAGAAAGAAGCCGCTTCGAGTTTGAAAGCTTTTTATTAGCGTCGTCATAGGGAGACTTGAAACGAAATCAGCTATGTGTACATTTTTGCTGCACCTTATATTTAAAATAATTGGGTTTGATGTTCGCTTTTTGCTTTTGAATGGATTGTGTCCCAACACAGCAGACATCACTGTGATATAAATATTTATATACTTTTTACAAAATTTAAATTCATAAATCAAAAGCCTTTATATGGGAACAACCTACTTTCAGATCCTTTTACTGTTTTGGTAAATCAAAGTGTTGTCTAATAACTTTCCCACACCCATTGGTATAGAGCAGATATCTGTAGTATTATATTTAAAAATGATTGATTTTTACTTGCTAGAAAAAAATGAATAAGTTTAGTATTATTGCCTTGGATACAGTGGATATTTGATATGAGTGACAGATGAAGTATCTTTGCCATGTTGACCCAGTTGAGTCTTCTGAAAATAAACTTATAAAAACCAGCACCTTTGTCTGTATGATGTGTTTTGTGTCTGTCTATACTGTCTATTGTTGATATTTTACTATTACACAGCTCCCATCTTGCTTCCTGTTCTCTAACAATTATCTCAAGGCGGACCTACAGCTGCAATAAAAGCAAGAGGTGCCAAACCAAAGTTAAAATGGTCTTGCCTTTTTATCAATTTATTGGCCAAAACCAAACTTTGGACGGTGGGCCCTAAATAAGGCTTCAATCAGTCATCTAGGAAAGTCTTAGATGGGAGCACACCCATCTAATCTGTGTGTACAGCTATATTTAGAGTGGTAGACATTTTCAATCTGGCTTGCCAGGTTACCTTTAAATTAGGGCTGCAACTAATGATTATTTTACACATTGATTAATCTATCGATTATTTTCTCAATAAGTTGATTCATAGTTGGATAGCAAAAGGTTCCTTAAGGAAGAGTTTTTGGGAAATTAAACCAGGGGAAACTAAAACTTTTCCATGTGAGGAGTTCTGCAGAGAGCATATTAACAGACGAAAACATAAACATATTTTATTTTTAACATTTTTGGTTTAACTGCTACTCAAGGTGGGTTGCTCTGTCAGCTAAAGGCATATTTTCGAGTTTACGCTCCAGTTAACGATTTATTGATCACTAAATTAGTTGGACTATTGAAAAACATTTGCATTAAAAAAATAACACAGTCTGAGCCACAAAAAAAAAAAAAAAAAACTAACCACCATTTGAATTGACATCCAGCTTTGCTTCAACCAGGAAAGCTTAATAGCATTAAAAATAAATGGCTAAATTAAAAGCCTAAAATGAAAGAGATCCATAAAGGTGATGACAAATGCTGTAAGGCATAGTTTAGTTTTGTTTTTAGCAAAGATGCCTGAAGAGCTACAAATACTGCATTCAAGATAATCCGAATCTGCAGTTCAATTCATATAAAATATCCCTTGAAGTGCTTTACTCCACAAGAGGGTAAGCAAGTCAGACCAATTTCAAAACTTCAGAATCAATGTTTGGTGTATTTTGTGACATTTTTCATAATAGTTATATAGCTCCACCTTGATGTCCTTGAGGGCACAGACCCCGTGTTAACTCACCAGATCAAAGGTCTTTTATGGCTTGTAGCTGGAGTTTGCCCAGGCACTCAGTCAGTTAGAGGCAGGCGGACTGTGAGCAACCACCTTGAGCACAGCAGAACTTTTTCCACACTATTAACTACACAGACCTGAGCAACATGGATCACATCTACGAAAGCGTCGCCGGGGAAAACGGCCGTCGTCTTGGAGGCCACAGCCCTGACCGAGAGGTCATGTATGAGAACACAGGTGAGGAAAGTGAACATGTGTACAGCGAGGTGGAGGTCCACGCCTCGGCTGGGGGAGAGCAATCCCAAAATGACTACACAGAAATGAGAGATGATGAAAACAGCTTTTCATCCTCCTCCTCCTCCTCGTCCTCGTCTGAGAGTGACGACGAAGAAGCCAGGGCAGAGACCCCAACGGATGAACAACATGTGGAGAACATGAAGTTTTCACCCGAGTTGGAGGCAGAAGAGGTGAATGGAGATCATGACAGCTCCAGACGCTCATCCTCCTCCTCTCACGCCTCCTCATCCTCCTCCTCCTACCATGGAGACCCCTGCGACGACCCTCCGATCGAAAGCCGGACCCAGAATGAGGATCATGCCGATAATGCTCTGGACTACAGCATTAAAACTATGGAGAACGTCCATCTGAATGACAGGAGCAGGGCCCCCGATGACCCCAACGAGCCTAAAGTCTCCCTCTTTGTCAAGGTAAAATCTGACTTAATAAGCTGCAAAAAGAGGATTGAACCAGTTCACTCTTTCAGTGTTAATGAGGAGAAGGTCTTTTGTTTTCCTTTGAATAATTCTTGACAGAGCAAATCCTAAATTGCACAAGGCCGTTGGTAAAATCTAACATGCAGGCCGACTTTCGTTTAAGGTCTTTGTCAACCAGTCAGAGAACAAGTAGCTGTGGCTTTAAATCAATCAACCAACCAACTAATAAATATTAATTTTAACAGTCTTTTTAACAAGAAAAAACAAGTTTCAGATATTGTTATTTAGACAAAAAAGAAAAAAACAGTAGAGTGAGTGAAACGTACATTTCTAACAAATGGGTCAAATAGTTAAAGAATGAAGAATTGAAAAAAGCAACCGATTAGTGAAGAACACAAGAAAAACCTTCAAAACTTAAATATAAGACATGCTCATAATAAGAAAAGGACATGTGATTTTTAGTTTTTACCTTAGTTACTAACAGAGGACCCCTCCTTAAGACATCTGAGGGGTCTACAAAAAAAGCAATCCCACATTTACCATTAAACCAAAACTAGTATTTTGTTTTGGGAGATTTTCTATCTTAGTAACACTTGATTAAATAAACATCTCTATTTATGGGATGCACTTCTATTATCTCTAACCCATTGTATTGTTTGCATTGAACAGTTAAAAGAAGCTGGTAGAGGCTGTCTGTTGTGACCTCCCCATTGGAAACACACTTCAGACCTGTAGCATAGGAAAGTAAAGCTGTGTAAAAATCTGACACATCACTTTATCCATAATGTTTTTTTATTTATCTGTGCATTACTTCAAAAAATATAAAATGGTATGCTGTATTAACAGTTGTTGGATTTTTTTTATATATATATCAGCAGAGATTACTCTAAGCTGCCTCATATTCTGCTCATACTGTAGTTTGGCTAGATGGGAATCCAAGTGAAGCAACACTTTTTTTAGATTAGCCCTAACATATTTAATCTGTCAATAGTTTTAGCAAGAATCAAAACTGTAGTTTTCCGTACAGCTTTATCTTTATAAATTCTCCTGATACATTGTTTTTTTTAACAACCAGAGTTTAACCTAGTTACAATTGGATGATTATACTGTATTTCCTAAAGTCATGTTTCCTCTCTGGATTTTCCTCCTATCATGGCCATGATTTACTGAATAATAACTTATTGCACATATGTCAGAGCCATCATGCTTAAAAGTGATCAATGTCTTGCTTTTATTAAATGCCAGCATAATAATTAAGAAATATTTCTATAATGCTGTTATTTAAACACCTTTACTCATAGAGCATTACTTAAAATATTAAGTCACCAAAAAGTGTTTATCAGATGCCAAGTGTGAAGATACTTTTATTGCTTTAGGACCTGTTATGTAAGCTTGGATTTAAAAAAAAATGTTTTAATGGTTAAGCCATTTGCCGTAAACGAACATAATAACTGAAGGCAAACTCTAAGCCTGTGAAACCCTTCTGCTTTTTCCCTGCTTTACTATAGCAGCGAAGCAGGACAATATTTTACTTTACTGAAAACTTTGCACTATCAAATAGTGAACAATGGAAAGTATTAAAGCTGCTGTTTTATACTAAATTAAGTAACAGAATGCTAACATATTCCCACCCCTCGAACTGTTCTAAACAAATCTCAATGTATTAATTGAGATTTCATTGAATAGACAAACACAGAGTAATTCCATACGTCCAACAGGTAAATAAAAGGATGTATTGTATTATAGAAAAAAGTTGGAAAAATATCACATTGCATTTGTTCTCGGCCCCATTGATCCAAGTCTCCTATTGTGTGTCTCTAACAGCTTTGGACATCTAGATAATGAATTTGTTGTTTTCTTCTTCTGCAAAATAGTTCAGTCAGAATGGATTATGTGAATATCATGATTCTTATGTGGATTTAACTCTGGACTTTGACTGGGCTGTTCTGATGCATAAATGCTCTTTCATATAAACCTGTCCACTGTAGTCCAGGCTGTATGTTTAGGGTCGGTGTCCTGGTGGAACGTGAAACCCAGCTGATTCTTTTGTGGCTTCTCTTTTCCTGTCATGTCAAACTCATCGTTAAAGCAATCTCTCTGTTTCACTATTACATCAATTATATAAAGTCCTTTTACAGCATTCTAAAGTTTTTAGTTGTAACCTGAATAATTTCATAACAGTTAAGAGCATATAACATTTTTAAGACAATTTAACCCTGAATTAGAAGTTCACAGATAAACAGATACTTCCTGATTATGCATTATGATGTAACCTTTATAAACACAATTTTATCTTGGCTATAATCTGCAAAGCATTTTATGCTCGGACATGTATTTACATACACCAATACTAGCTTGAATACAAATACTGCATTGATGGTAAACAACCCTTTGTCTCCAAATCAATTCTTTTACAGTCATCAATCCAACAGGGGAGGCGTTGCAAAGGTATGACTCTAACCTTAGTTTATTGTATGTTTGTAATTTACTGCCTATAAAAACAAAGATACCTTATACAACTAAAACTGGAGCTGTTTCAGAGAATATTCAAAAACAACCAAAAAAGAAAGGCACACAAATAGTCTATTTTGATGAGGTGAATCAAAGGTAATTAAATAGAGCTGTGTTGGAGCTTATTTACATGCTTTGTTGAGCTGGATATTCGTTTCCGCAATACAGTTTACGTCAGTCTGAGCACATTTACAGTTATAGCTGATAAAAGCACAAACTGCGATCCGCATAGCAAGTTATCTCAGAATCATGATAAACGTGGGACATAGTTCACCTTGGGAACAAACCGCCTATCTGAGTGTATCAACATTGAACATGTTTAAAGTTTCAATTTGATAAAAACTGCCATTTTCAGCTTATAAATGTGATATGTCCAAAGTTTTATGTCCCAATTATAAAATACATGGACCATAAATGGTCATGGAATTGAAAACATCCATTGTCCATTGTCCATGAATCGCTCCACCTTGGGTCCTCCCCCCATCCTGTCTGAGAAAATCCAAGATATGGGTGGATTTTCCACTGGTTTAATCATCAACAGCTGCTATAAATTAACCCCAGCGCTGCTATAAAACTAGGAAGGATGGTTAGGACATTGACTGCTTTTGCTGACAGTGTTAGGTGACTCATCTCCAATCAGTAGGTTATAACAGCTATCTCTGGGAAGGCATGGAGTCTTTAATGCAGTAGTTTG